GTTGGTGTGTACTGGGTGACTCCTTCTTGCTCTGACAGGTGAGCTTGCAGCCAGCCTCATCTCCCTGTGCCAGTGAATAGTAAAGCTCCAAAGTTCCTGCCAAACCTGTGGATTTCTTCCTGGACATAAGCACAAAAGGCAGGTGGCCTGTCCTCTCACTTTCCTTCTCTATCAGTTCTTATCAAACTGAGAGGCAGGGAAAGGGGAGACCTAAAGGCTGGTGAACCAAGGTTTTAAAATGATTAAGGTGAAACAATGTGTTTCTAGCCTCAATGGTGTTAATGTATATGTTCCTAAAGAATCAGACATTCATTAAAACACCTTTTTTGTATTGCCCATTTTACATGCAGTGGGTAGATTATATTCCAAATACAAGAAATCTGTATATTCCACATTTTTTCTTCAGTGCCTAGCATCCAGGATTTTGTTGAAGCTAAGCAGAACAAAAATCCAGATTTGTTGCTAAAATAGTCTTTTTTTTTTCAATCAACAATTTCTTGTTGTTCCCCTGATCCTTTAGTTGATAGCTAAAAGATGGAAACAACATCCATAGTTAGAAGTCTTATTGCATGATTTTAAAGATTTACCACTCTTACAATCTCATTTCAAGCCAGTAAAATCTTACACTTGTAAAAGTTCAGCTGCAGTGTGATTACCGATCACAAGTCTTCAAAGATCACTTATATAACCAGTATATCCCTTATCATCCCTGTAGGATTCGGTTTGGGAAAAACTGAAAAATCAAACTAAAACATCATATGACATCCAAGCTGTGGCAAGAAAGGGAAATGTGGCAATATTTACCATATTTAAATTGCTGCCTCTAGCCTTTTTTTCTTGTTTATTGGTTAACATGTCGAGGGACATTTACCTTCTAAACATTTGTGAAAAAGCAGGTGGAATGCAAAATCATGTCTTTGCCTACATCTCTGAAAGCTTTTTAGAGTATAAGGCATTTCTATGGTGTTGAAGAAGAGAGCAGGCTTCCAGAAATTGCAGCCTATCTTTTATGCAATTAAATGTTATAACCATTCTATCTGGGAAAACAGCACTTGGAATAATATTTGCTCTAATCTGTAATATTATCTACTTCAGTCTATGAGAAATCCAGTCAAGAAACGTGACATTCCCTCGTTAATCTTCGTAAGTGTAACCCTTCAAAGCAAAATGTGTGAAAAGATAATGAAGGATCAGGCCAGTTAAAAAATCGAAGGTAATGTACTTAATAAGAAATACTATTTATGTTTAAAAAATACATTCTCTCGCTGATTTAGGTTTATCTCACTATCTTGAAGAAATTTTAGATGCATCTAAAAAAAGTAGAAAAACTCAATCGTTAGGATTCTAAACAGCAGATTGGTTGGAGATCTCACTAAAATGTCTGCACAGCCCTAAGAAAGTGAATTTTTCATTTAATTTCTGTTTTTTTTGTTCCTTTCTGCAGAATAACAGTTTCTGCTATGTGTTTCATGGATTTCAGTAGGTTTCCTCTGGACACGCAGAACTGTTCTTTAGAACTGGAAAGTTGTAAGTTTAATTCATACCTGTTCTTCACATGTGCATTCTCACCAGCACTCCATCTTGTTCATAATACCTTTTTTCACTTATTTTGATGTGTGACCTGAACCCTTCGACCTGTACATATTAAACTGTGGCCAGTTTGGGATCTTTCCAGAACTCAGTGAGCTTTGGGAAGATAGAAAAACCGTGATGCACCCTGCTTTGTTTCAACTGGGTTGATATTCCAACGCCTAAATCTAAAAATGTTTACTCTGTCAAAAATCAATCTTTTCTGAGAAAGAAGTAGAAGTTAAAAGTAAAATAAGATGTCAGTACTTGACCTCATCAAAAAATGAAAATGAGTGCTTGTCTTACTGTGAATTGTCTGCTTTCTCACTCCTGACTCTTGTCTGTAGTAAGCTGTAGAGCTGAACAACAAAAGGTCATTCTGTTTTGCAGAGCCTTTTGATGCATCAGAATTTATTCTTATTTGGACTGTGAGTAAAACTGGCATGCTGGCTTGTTGTTTAGTCTTGGAAAAGAGAACAGATGCCCAGCGTTCAGGCAGTCTGCTCAGTGTGGCAGCTCCAGAGCTCTGGTCCTGTGTGCCCTGTGACCCTGAGCATGCCCATGTCCCCCATCTGTCGGGTAAGCTGCTGGCAGAGCACAGAACTGAGGTCCAATTGGACCAAGATGGAATATGGGCTTTGCAAATTTTTCCGTGTCAACTAACTGGCAAAAAGTAATGTGAAAAAAAATTTTCTTTGGGGTTTTCCCAAATTGTTTTAGTGATCTCCCATCCCTAAGAAAAGAAAACAGAAGCATTATTCCAGCAGAAGAGGTGATTTAGTTGTGGGTTTGTTTTTTTTTTACTTTCTCATAGATGCATACAATGAAGATGACCTGATGTTATACTGGAAACATGGAAACAAGTCCCTGAGCACAGACGAGCACATCTCCCTCTCCCAGTTTTTCATTGAAGAATTCAGTGCTTCCAGTGGGCTAGCTTTCTACAGCAGTACTGGTATAGTAAGCCCCTGTCCTTAGAAGAGAGAAGCACAAGACGCAATCATGCAGAATGTCTTTCACGTTCAAATTAATTGCTGATAAATGACTGTTACTGCTGAGAGATCTCAGTTAAAATGAGGTCTGTCAATCACACTGGTCTGTTGGCCTAGGTCCTTGGTTGTCTTTACATTACCAATGTAATACTTTCTCGATATTAGAAGAAGAGGCCATAATAACACTTGTAACTTTAACCTCTGACAATAAGAACGCCCAAAAAATGCACAACCACCAACTATATGCTGTTGTGAGCTCTTGCAAAATCATGATGCTTCTCTAAAAGCCACTGGAGTATCAGGTTTACAGGAAACTTTGCATCCTGGTTATATAGAAAAGCTCGAAAATGCAAACACTGAAGGATCAAGTACTAGAAAGCAAACATGAGGAAATCTAGTGTGTTTTATTGTCTAAAATCTCCTCATTTTTTGAGCTGTAAAATGTCATTAAAGGTCTACTAACTATAAGATTACCACATGAGAGCATTTATAATCTATTGAGGTCTAATTCATGGTTTGCTGAATGTTCCATGTTGAAACATAAAGTTGCCGGAAAAAAAAAAATCGCTTTATGTCAGTGCTACATTATTTAAATACAGGTATCTGCCCCAGACAGGTTTTTGTTTCTCCCTATAGATCTTGAACTATACTTTCTGGCAAACTGCACAAGGCTTTAGGAGTTTATTATAGTCTTGATTTCATGCAGAGTGGGTTTTATTTTCTTCGTATTTGTACATGCAATTATAAATTTTGAAGTGTTTCTCTATGTAAGTAGTCTAACCATACATTTTTAACCAGATAAAGTAGCATGCTTGCTACTGTAGTTTCCAGTCTAAATCAATTCATTGCAGTGTGGATATTGCCCTTTATATCAAGGCACATTAATAAAATAGAAATTATTACATATAACATGATGAAATGCGTAACACTTTGGAAAAAAAGTCTTTAAGACATACAGAAAAATATAAAATACAGTTACTATATTTTATTTGCAGGATAGCTTGTTTTTACATTTAAAAAAAGAGCCATTCAAGTTTGCGGTGGCTGATACGGAATGCAGAAATTCCAGTTTAAATTATGATGCAGGCTAAGCAGTGAGGAATTCACAGCTTGATCAGGTTCTTCATCCTTATCTCTTGTTGTGTATGAGCTAAGAACAGAGCTCCAGCTTTCAAGAGCCACTGTCATGTGAGAAGAGGGCGAGTGATACCTTACTGTCAGAACTGTGCCTTGCTGAGAGCTCTGTCAAATTTGTCCTTGTTGCAAGAAGGAGACTGGGATGTTTTCCACCAAACTGCTGTCACCGTGTGTTGAAATTGGGTTCCAGGAACTCAGCTTGTTTCTTTCTGCCTTGCTATTCTCATCAAAAAACACTTATGCAAGCAAATACAGCCTTGTGCACAACAGTGCAACCTCATACCACTCCTGTACCCCGGCCTTTGCAGCACCTTTGACTTTGCAAAGTGTAACTGCTTAACACTTGCATGCAGATGTTTTGATGATGAGCTTACTCACCTGGGTAAAGGTGAAAGGAAAGACCTTTTTTTTAAGCTGCAGGGACCACTGGGAAGTACCTGAATAATGCGTGTACCATATCTATTAATTAGAACACTGCCCTTCACAGACATACACTTTTCTTTGGCTTTGAGGATTTGTTTCAGTCAGGAGGTTCCACCTTCTCTTGTTCTTTTATTTTGCTTCTTGTTGGAAGAAAATTATTATCCACAGACCCTGGCCCCCAGAGTAGGTAACAGTGGGGAACAATCAGCACAACTCTAATGGGAGCCATCTCCCCCTGAAGAGTCTCGGGCAAAAAATGGACAAAAATGCTGCTCACAAAGCAGCCTTCTGTGTTTTATGTTCTGTATATCCTTTCCTATGAATCTCAGTGAACTACGCAGGCGTAGCATTTAGGCTTTTGGAGTTCCCTGGCCTCCAAAGGAGCAACAATTTCAATCCATTTTTGAGACAATAAAACCAAAAACCTTTTGCACAACTGAAAAACCCATAGACCGTGTTTAATATTAGATGGGGTTATTGTTAAGATATTCTTTTTTGTAAAGTCGCTCTTTGTGATGGCATGACTGCTCCAACACAGGCTCATTGATGCCTCCGTTTGTACCAGACAGGCAGATGCTGCTCAGCCAGGCACTTTTGTCTTCTTTTCACCTTACTATAACCTGATTTCTCTCCCATGACAGGAGGTAGAGCACATACGCTTTGCTGCACAGCCAGAGCGAGCCCCAGAATTCACTAGATGGCCCTCTCTACTCTAAAGTCAACGCTGGGCAGGCAAACTGATCTGACCGTAGGAAAAGAAGTGCTGCTTGTTGCTGGTTATTTGTAGTGTGAGAGAAGGCAGGCTATTTTTTGGGGTAGGCAGGGTATTGGCTTCACTGTCCTAGCTGGACTGGACATGTCTATTCTGTCTGTATTCTCCCGGCAGTTCCACTTGCAGTCTATTTACTTTTTTTTTCAATTTCCTAATCTCAATTATAATATAGCATTTTATTTATGCAGTTGTGATGATTCACTCCCGAGGCAGCGGTATTTTAATGAGGTATGACGGACAGTTTGTAAAGCGCTGGTGGCAATATTTCTTAGGCATTTACTAGTACTGATGTGGATACACCATTCCAACTGGAATGAGGGGGCCAGTGAACAGAGCTCACAAATAAAATGGCTCTCTTCTCCCCTAACCTCTTCCTCTCTCTTTTTTCAATAGGTTGGTACAATCGACTTTTTATAAACTTTGCACTCCGGAGACATATTTTCTTTTTTGTGCTACAATCCTATTTCCCAGCCATGCTGATGGTGATGCTGTCCTGGGTTTCATTTTGGATTGACAGAAGAGCCGTTCCTGCCAGGGTATCACTAGGTAAACCTTTAATGTTTATTCTTCTGGGAAGTATAGAATGGATAGGGGAGAGGCTTTGAAGTTACCTTTGCTTCTTATTTACACAGGATGTGAGCAAGTGTATCAGGTAATTGCCTGAACAACACTCTCATTGCCACTGTTGTCTCTACCACAAACTCCTTTAGTCAACCTCTACATTTGGAAATGAGATGTTTGTTCAGACTGGCTTTGCTATATTAGAAAACAGTTCACACATCACAGAAGGAAAAAGGGATTAATCTGAATCTGCAGATTTCCCTGTGTAGAATTTTCCTTCATTCTTTTTTTTTTTTTTTTTTTTCCTCAAAGACTAGGTTTTTCCTCCCCACTACCCAGCAAAGTAACAGGTAGTCAGATCCCTCCCCAAATCCGTGGCTCATAAGAGATACTTAATAGACGTAGCACAACCTATCTAAAAGCTTTGCAGCTCTGCTTTCTCTCTAGAAACCTTTGATCTCTTCCTACCAGCTTGGAACCAGTTTCCTGACTTGTCCTATGTAGCAAAGCCTTCTTTGGTAGGCACCTTGGAAATGTTTGCTTGGGTGCCTTAACTGTGCAAGGCACACAGGCTTCTGTGGAAGCCGAAGAGTAAGTTGGGCATCTTTCTGCTCTCACAGTTTTAGTTCTGAACACCAAAGCTCAGGAGAAAAAGACTAATTACAGTGTTTTTTTAATAACATTATTGTTTTTCTCAGCGATGAATCAGTTGATACTACTTCAAGGCTGCCTTTGTTGGGACATTAATGCTGATGGCCTCAGAACGAGTACTTTTTTTCAAAGATTAGCGTCTCTGTGAAGATCTGATGGAAATGTGTTAAGATACCTAATGCAATCATAATGCATCTGAGTCCTGCAACTGTCAGTTTAAGAATTAGTAAAGAAGCTCCTGTTCTTTCTTCTCACTGATGCTAATCCCAGAAACCAACTGTATGTTGCCATATTTCTTAGACAAGTGAAAATTTGAGGATCTTTGTTTAAGAAACAAACTTGCATGTACTGAGGAAGCCCTCGATTTTTTATAGCTATATCAAATTAGAAAAAAAAGGACTGTAGCTACCTGAGGTCCCTTTCTATTGGCACATTCTAAAGGTATTAATACATGAGATATAAATCTGTTACTCTAAAAACAGATTATGGTACCTCCTACCTACTTTTATTAAGGCATCTACCAATTCCTTTTATTTATAAGAAGTTTAACTTCATCTTTAAAAAGACAGTTTTAATTTTCAGTAGGTCATTTGTAATGTTGTAAAGATGGTTTTGCTGATCGTGTTCTTTATATATGGATTTCTGCAGAAGGTTATGCATCAGGAGTTCTATGAATAACGCACATCTCATTAGCATAAGCATACATAATGTATAGGCAATGTTAACAACAAAGTTTAAAAAGCTTAGCTCCCTAGCCTAGAGTACACATCTTTTAAATTGCCTTCCTCTTATATGGTATATTTCAATATACATCCTTCAACCTAAGGAACTTGCAAAGAGGGAGAGGGAAAACTTTTCTATGTTCCAGTGGACTTGAACTAGCATAAAAGTGGAGAAAGGCTACACTGAGACTCAGCTGAAAGGTCATGCTATCAGCCAGTGCTGTCTCACAGATGTTATTGAGATATCGTCACCTCCAGTGCTACATTCATTTCTTTAAAAGCAAGGCTTGGGTTGGGTGTTGGGTGTTGGTGGTGGTGGTTTTTTTTTTTTCTGAGGTGAAGCAAAGCAAAATCAGATGAATAGCTGCATGTAAGAGGAGAGATTGAAAAGATGAGGGTGAAATTCTGGACACACTGAAGTAAACAAAAAATATTTCTTAGCTTCAATGGATATAGCATTTTTCTGCTAGGGTGTTTTTAGAGCACCATGGAGTTATAAGAGAGACATACAAGCTGATATATGTTCTCAAGAAGTACAATTTGAGAAGCGGTTAGGAGGGAAATTGGTGATTATTTAGTGATTCTCCGGGACAGGAAAGCGTGTAGTGGAGACCCTGGCTCTGGGAAGTGAGGGAAGACCACAAACCTGCTTTCACTTCTTCTATAGCAGTGCTTAAAGCTGTCACAGAAATGTGTTCCTTATGCTGCTGAATCACCAGTGTTGCGTCCCCACTGTTTGAACCTGGTGTGCTGCATCTCTAACTGGATGCACCGAGCAGAGAGATGATTTTATCATATGGTTTCAGTATTGTATGTGATAGGTCCTTCATGGTTCACTCCACTTTTCAGAGCCTGTGCAATGGAAGTTAACGGCAGCGTCAATGATATGCCCTCACAAAGCTTGCTGTCCAAGCAACGGTGATGAGCTAAACAGAACCAGCTGGCCAGTATTATGAGAACTGTCCCTTTTTCTTTGGCAGGTATAACTACAGTGCTGACAATGTCAACCATCATGACAGGAGTAAGTGCCTCAATGCCTCAGGTGTCTTATATAAAGGCTGTGGATGTGTATTTATGGATCAGCTTCCTTTTTGTCTTCCTGTCTGTCATCGAATATGCGGCCGTGAACTATCTCACCACAATTGAAGAGAGAAAGCAGCTCAAAAAAAGGGGCAAGGTACAATCCTCTGTGTTTTGTTGCCTTCAGAAAGCATCACAGAAGCCACAGAGAAATCCTGATACACCACAGTGATAACAGGACAGTAACCATCTCTGTGACTCCACTCTATATTTCACTTTTCTTTACTTGGTTGAAGAGAGGAAATGTATCATCCTCTCTCAGATCTTGAGAAGGTCTGTGCTTTCTCTCCCTTCCTTTTCTTGTGGCAGAGTTAGGGAGCACACCTCCTGATTACTTTTTTTTCCCCTTTCCCCCACCCCAGAGGAAGGTAATCTCCATTCTGTTCTCAAATACCTATTATCAAGGTATTTTTCCTCTCTCTGAAATATACCCCAGAATGCACTCATGTAATATTCCTTCCTGTTTCCTGTGAAGCAGAGTCTATTTCTCCTTCTCCTGCTTCGTCATTTTCAATTACAGAGATGGGTTTAACGATGCCTTTTTGTCCCAAGACCAGACGAATGACAAGGTCATTTTTAGAAAAGTGTGCCTGAAGCAGAAATGTTCACAAGTTAAACATTTGCTTTCTATAAAACACTTACTTAAAACCTTTGCTTCTAGAATATCCCCCCCTCCCCCAACTTGTCTGTTGGAATATTGCAAGGGGAAAAACACAAAAAGGGTCCATATGTTGCTCACATGATTTGATAATCCCATCAAAAAACTACTCATGGAAATGTTTGAATTTCCCACAACTCCAGCAAAGCAGACCTACAGGAAAGGCAGAGTTTGACTGTTCTGTTTCAGAAGCTGGGGCACATATTGCCAGCCAGAACCTGGCAATAATCAGACAAGTGTGTTTTATCACAAGTATCCCCTTCCTCGCTTGTGTCCTGCCCAAGGGGGAAGGCCCCACAGATAGCAATACTGTGAGGTAGCCCTGTTCTCCACGTGCCCTCCACAGAAGCACCAACACTGAAGAGAAAGCTTGCTTTATTTTCTGTTTTATTTATTTATAATTTACTAAAATGGCTCCCGCGAGACGCAGAATAACTATTCTTTGTTGCCAGGCTTCAGGAATGTATAGTATTGATGCAGTGCAAGCAATGGCTTTCGACGGCTGCTTTCATGACACGGATGTGGACATGGACCTGACTGCTTTCTCAGACCGCTGTGAAGAGAACGAGACTCGGGCACGCGCAGCCAGCGTCTCCAATGTGGACACGACTCGCATAAAGAGGAAGAGATCTCTGAAGGGAAACGTGGGCAGGATTATTTTACAGAACAATCATGTTATTGACACATATTCCAGGATTATATTTCCCAGTGTGTATATTGTGTTCAACTTTTTTTACTGGGGTTTGTACATATGAATGAAAACCATTATAAGCTAGACATTATTTTGCATATGAGGGTAGCATTGTACTTTAAAAAGAACGCAACAGCAGTGAAGGAAAGGGTTAAGACTTTCCAAAACTGACTTCTGTGTCATACCAAGGCTGGTTCGGTTAGCAGCAAAACTGGTAATGAAAACCTTTCACGAGTCTGGTTTCTTTTTCAACTGGACTGTGCAATGCTTCATTGGGGCAATCTAATGGACATGCTACTACTGCAGAGGCATAGAAGCAGTTTGCTCACTAAGGGTCCCCTTTGTCAGAAACCTAAACAGAGAGCAGCTCCCACCGGAGGTATTATCCAGGCTCTAGCTACGCTCTGACCATTCCTCCTTAATCAGCCTTTCTGTTCGGTCTCCACTTGTGGTCCATTTTAGTAGGCAATCAGCACCAATCGCCTTCAAATAGCTCCTATCCTTATTTCACTTGCTGCATTTTGATTTTGCTAGGCAACCTGTATGCACCTCAGCAGCCTTTGGCCTCGGATGGTAACTAGGGGGAAAGTGCTGATGGCTTAGCAGTGGAGTAGGGACCAGGAGAAAGCAGGAAGCAAAGCTGATGGGGCTTTGTACATTCTGCATCATCAAGAAAAACCCTCGCCCTGTCAGCTGTCCCTGACTTTCCACAGGACCATTGGGAAGGGCCTCTGTTTTGGAGAACTCTTGCTCACTAGTCCCCGAGGCAGCACAGGACCGATGTCCCAGCCCCGATGCACTCAGTGTCTTACAGCCACCTCCCAGGTGGATGACTAGCGTCACCTGCACAAGCCATGTCCCCGATGTGACACCCACAGACCTGTGCCTCAGGTAGACCTCCTGTAATCACCTGCTTTCTGCATAACTGTTCATTTCAGAAACACAAGCTTTGAGTCAGAGATTTTAGAAAACTTTGTCAAGAAAACAAACCAACTATGTCTTCCAGCAGAATCTTCTTGTTCTTCTGCTTTATGTCGCATACAGGAGCTGGGGGGGTTGTCCCCCTCCTTCTCTCTTTGGCTTTTGAGATTGAATGATACAGTCAGGAGGAGCTACACATGCCTGCTTGCAGCAGTGATCCCCAGCAGAGTTCAAGATACCACACTGAGACACACAAGAAATAAAAGGAAGCAGCTGTGTCCAAACAGAGGCATGTACAGGAATCCTGTTGGTCTCAGATGAATCCTGCATGGAAATATCTTTAGGTTTAGGCTAAGGAGGTTGAATTAAGGATGTTGAGGGACACACACAAAAAGCAGTCACAGCTCCAGAAAAGAATCAAGATTATTTTTGTGACTTTCCCAAATAAGGAGCATTTTCCACTTAAATTCCTTGGGCTTGTCTGTCATTTAATGAAGTGAGTTTATATTTACAAAGTCAGTTCAAAACGATAATTTGTGGTGGCGGCGAAAAATGTCACAAGGTAAATGCTTGGTCACTGCCGAGTCAAGATTAGGAAATTGGAATAAATCTGGAAGCCTGAACCACTCTGGTTTATTTGATTTTCCTGCACCAATATTGTTTGCTCATAGCATGATGATGTCTCTCACTCTTTCAAAAAGCTGTGTTTGTCACGTTCCCAATTACAGAGCTGGAGAAGCTGGTGACACACTGCATGCCAGCTGCTGGAAATCTGACGGAGGGAGTGGGCACTTTGGCAGCCAGTTCACCGCCAAACATATGATCAGAGCTAAAAGGGCTTTGATACTCTTCCAGGAAATCCTGTCATGGAAAGCAGAACCGTACCAGGAATGACAATGCTGGGAACGTAAAGCCAAAGCAGACGCAGGCTTCGGCAACGGCACAGCACACCAGACCTCAAGCTGAGCAAATGTGTAATACAGATATCTAAAAAAATTACTATGACATCCTCATTACTGCACTGCCGTTATGGAGGTATCCTACACAGATGTTCCAGATTGTCTGAGAAGATCCCATCTAATTCCTCCAGATGCATGATGTGTGTCCTAAACTTCTCACACTAACATAACACCATTGTTTTCACGCAATTTTTTTTAATCTCCCTTACAGGAAGAGGTACTTGTTGTGTAGCCAACAGTGAACCCTCAGCCTCCAACAGAAAAAAATACCCGTCTGCTTCTTGACCCAAACCGGTTCCCTCGGCTAAATTTCTTATAGGTTCTGCAGCAGCAGAATTGATTGCTTCTGTAATTCGTAAAAAATAACAAACAGTACTTAAATACATCTTTCGTTGTTTAGAGGGCTGACTAAAACTCACATGACCCTCATCTGATGCTTGTGTTATCTTCCAGAAAGTGGTGGTAATAAATACTTTTAGTCAATTTGTCTAGACAGACCAGCATGGAAGCCTTTAAAAAACTATGCACAAGTATTTCCCATTCCTGTTATTTTTGGCTGGTTTTGCAGCCAGTCAAATGTATGGGTTTTACATCCCACAGCATTTACTGAAAGTTAAAACGTCACAGCCAGTTTGTAAATACATATTTTTTGGAGTATTCAACCCAGTGGCGTTTAAGCAGTTATGCTGAGAGTACTTTGTGGATTTTTGGAACAGAAATAACAGCCTGTAATGGTTTCTGTGACCAGCTGAGGTGCAGGATGTGGCCTCCCTATTTTGAGCATCTGCTGCTACACCCATCTCTAGTAAGAAAACATCCTGTAAGTGTTAATGTAGGTGATGCAAACTTTTAAGTCTGGAGAACTACTTTATTCTTCAAAGCTTTCTAATTCTCATGAATGAAGTAAGCAGAATTTCATGCCAATGACCTGCTTTCAGAGAGCTACAAAAATGTACGCCTTTGAAAATCCCAACTATTGGTAAGTGTTTACACTAAAATATTAATTTAATAAATTTTGCAGTGTCCTGAATGTTGAGTGACATCGTGATGAACCGAGTCAGAATGAGAAAGCAGAGAACGTCTTCTTTTTCTTTCAAAAGCCACAGACCAATGAAAGAAAAGTGCTTATAGAGAAACTTAAACTTTTACTACCTAATTTGAACACATTTATACAACTAGGACAACCTTAGGTTCACCCCTGGCAAAATCTCTCTCCTGGTAACCCATCCACATGTTGATTAACCTGCATTTCATGATCAAGTGGCGACGATGTTTTGGTCAGCTGGTGACCGAAGTAGTCCAGGTGGTAAAGAAACAAGGATTCAACAGGATGAGCAGTGTTTGCCTTTTTCTCTCCTCCACCCCCTTTTTATGTGTTATATTTTGCCAGTTTCTTTATTCAGCATATAGGAGTTTGTTGGATGCATTCACGAACACAGAACCCACTGGAATCACGTAACATTTGTTCCAAAGGATCCGGGCAGTGCCAGGGAAGCAGGAGTTACTGCTGTGTGAATAATAACCACACCGCAAGGAGGAACAGGACTGCAAAACCATTTTCTATAAAGGGAGGGATTCGAACTGGTATTTTAGATGAGAAAGGCTTCATCATTTCCCTCCATAAGCTGTTGATGGAACACAGTCCCCGCTCTTATCTGTCACTGAAAGGTCCTTCTAGTAACTAATTTATGCCCCATATAACTTTCTACTTACATCAGCTATGCACTGTAAGGCTGCTGAGGTTTCCAAAATTCACCTTTTTCTGGTAGTTCTGCTTTGTATGCTTCAAGCTATCAGTACACAAGAACAAAACTTTAGCAAAACCTACCTAACAATTTTTCTGACATCCTTCAGCCAATGTAAATTAAACCATTAGTAGGCATCTTGAATAAAGGTAACTAAATATCTCTGGAAGTTTTCATGTGCTCGGTGAGGATTCTAAAGATTTCTCGGAGGGAGCCTCAGAGGGGCTCTGGAACAAGAGTTTGGACCAGGAAGAGAATGCAGCTAAAGCCCAAGCACTTTTGGGCGTATGAAATAAACTTTTATACGAATAACCACAAGGTTTTATGTTGTATCTCCTAATTTAATCCATGTGATCCCTTTAGCGGAGACACTGTTCTGTAATTTCCTATTGGTTTCAAACCAAGGAGTGTTTTTCTCTCTCGCACATACCGCCAAGTAACTCGGGTAGAGGATGAAGCGTTTCTTGCACCGATTGTTTTCGAGTGCTGACTGCTTTAAAACCTTCTAGTTTGGGAGTCAAAAAAAAACCAAACCCCAAACCCTTGACATTACGTTCTCTCCGAAAAGGAGGTGAAATGCCGTGAAACGCCGCCCACCGTTACCGGCTCATACCTCAGCCCTGACCCCGCCCG